GCCATTTCAGTGTAAGGTAGCTGAGGAAAATCTGTTGTACTGATCATATGGTGGCTTTTCAACGGTGGTTATTGAGGTGCTATTGTTCAGGAATTAACCGGGTTTTACGTGACAAAAGTATCTGATTTTATCGAAAACGGAATAGAGGCACTTTTTTTACTACATATGGATCCATTTTTAGTCAAAAAAGAGAGTGGGCCGATTCCCGGCCTTATGCGGCCCCCTCCTTTCGTACGACACATGGTTTTTTTCCAACCTAAAACGAATATTGTGAGAATTATTCTCTTTTGTTTGGGTATGAATGACAGAAATATTTAAATTTGTTCCTACATGAAATGATGAGTAACACAGATATCGGAAGTACAAAGGCTTTTCCAGCTATAAAATTTTTTGAAGTTTCGTACTTCCATAGTTTTTTCTTCCCACCGCCCATTTTCATGTAAATTAATAATTTTAAGATGTCAGGCACAGAGTCACTCATATGTCCAATTACGTTCGAGCTATTTCGTGATCCAGTTGTGGCTGAAGACGGGCACACCTACGAGAAACAAGCAATTATTGATTGGATAAAACGAAATCAAACGAGTCCAATTACTCGTCAACCGTTATGTATCGAAACATTACGTCCAAATTACATCGTTAAAAAGTTAGTTGATGAGTTTGAAACAAATGTACGAGCTAAAAATTATCAATTCAAACTTGGTACTGATGTTAAAAAAGCAAAACGTGCTTTATTTCAAACATATGGCAAATCTGTATTTGAAGCCGAATGGTTAGGAATAAACAGTAATGAGACCAAACGCCCAAAAATAATTTTACTCAAAATTGATGGAGCACGAGCTAAAAAAGAAGCATCGTTCTGTGTCGAACTAAGTCGACATCCGCACATTGTGCGAACATACGGTCTAGTTGAAGATACACAACAGAATATCTCTGACGATGAACCCATCAACTCAATAATGTTACTTCAAGAGCACGCAACAGAAGGTAATCTGGTTGACTTTCTTCAGGCATTAGACTCTTTACCAGCAAGTAGTGTTTTGCTTGAAATGTTTGTCCAAATATCCGACGCTATGTCATTTCTTGCCCATAATCATATTGTTCATGGTGATTTAGCATGTAGAAATGTATTAGTATTCCATTTTGATGATAATGAGCCCAAAAAAAATCTAGTGAAACTCACTGATTTTGGTCTGAGTCGAGCGAGCACAATATATCAATCGGTTCAAAGTGTTAAAACAACAACAATGACCATTGTTCCTATACGTTACGCCGCACCAGAGTTATTATCGGTTAACAATTATTCAGATTCTTATACCGAAAAGTCGGATATGTACTCAATGTTCTTATGTGGGAAGCTTATTCGAAAGGTGCAATTCCCTGGGCAAAAATAGAAAAAGACGAAGAAGTTTGTAAACGAGTGATAAATGGAGAGCAATTAAAAAAACCGTTAAAATGCCCCGATAATATATGGACTATTATTCTGACGACTATGTCAACCGTTCCCACTAATCGTCCGACTTTTGCCGATTTAAAACGAAATTTGATAGAATCACAAATTCGGATGAGTACAATTAGCGAACAACCCGGACCACAAGAAATTTCTTTAGACATCTCAGCAAACCAAGAGATCGACCAACTGCGACGAAGTAAGATGACAAGAAGCTCTGCTAATAAACAAAGATCCTTTAGTTTCCATTTCTTAAGTATTTTATACAATCTACGATTACCGTTTTAAGAAAGTTTTTAATTATGCATGATACACTATGAAAAAAAGATCTTCAGAAAGCAAAAAATGTGTTTTCCATTTGTCATAAATAAAAGTCTGACATGACTGAAAATTTGCAAAACTGATTTTTCGGTTTTAGGAAGAACTAAAATTGAGTTTTCCGTTTTTTCACTTCCCTAATTTGTTCTCCGGAAAAAGTCAGCCTGCAAAACTCAAACTTTTCATTTTTTTGATAGGAAACAATTGCTGAAGAATTACAATGTGTGCGAATTCATTTCCTGTTGTAAAACAAAAACTAAGTTTTCTATTCCATAAAGAACTTAATTCAGCTCTTTTACACGTTCTTTTCGAAAACACGAAGAGCACGGTTCGTTTTACAGTGGACTTTCGTCTCTCTACTGGTAGCACCATTTTTTTTCCAAGAAATTTGTAACTAATCGTTGTCTTACGCTTTTAGCATATATGAATTCTGAGGATAATGAAGTTATATTCATACCATGTGAATTTTGTTATTTAAATGTTGACTTATCGCAATTTGAAGCACATACGGTAATACACTACAATCTGTAATTAATTAAATTAATTTACGGAATATACTATTCTAGCGTCGTTGTAAGGAACTGGATATTCAACGTATTCAGGAAAAAGCAAAGTAATATTTTCTCCATCTTTTTCTTCACTCTACGACTAACAGTTTTATATTTGCTTTTATTACTTCTTAGACAGATAGCAAGCGAGGCACCTATCAACCAGATTTCATGTGAATATTGTGGTGATTTATATCTTTTGGATGACCTTACCAATCATGAAGTAAGATTAGTTGATTTTTTGTCACATGTGACAAAAAATCGAAACTTGAATATCAACAGTTTATTTTCAAGAAAGTAGAAATTCGTCTAGGAATTTGTATGGACTTTCCTAGAATATCGTTTATGATACTCTATAAGTTATTTTCTAGTTAACAGTGCATGATATGCGGAGTAGATTTTCTTATTAACAGATAAATTGTGTTACAAGCAGGAAGACATCCCATAATTTTACTATTGACACGAACAACCAAAACGAGTTAGGTAAGAGGCATATTATGATAAAGTGAAAGAATTCGTGTCTTTTTAACTATCATTTAACGAATCTTCTAGCTTCTTTCGCTACAAGTTCTGCAGGAGAGTTTGTGTGTGTGGGAAATTCCCATGTTCGATTTTGAACGTTTTTGTCGAGTTTAAGCATGATAATCCTCTT